TTTGATTTTTAAAGAAAGAAAAAATTTAAAAAAAAAAAAAAAAAAAAAAAAAAAAAAAACCACAAAAAAACCCAAAACAAACAACAAACCAAAGCTCAAACATATATATATATAAAAATATAATACACAAAGCAGAGGGAAAGAACAGGAAAGTACAGAGTTTGTAGAAGCAGAGAAAGGTGATGAAGTGTCATAAATTCTGTTACCCAGACAGTGCGAGTTACAATTCTGCTAAACCATCATTAGGAGAAAACTGAACAGAAAAAAGCAAACATTGCTATCTCACTTAACTGTTTTTGAGGTTTATGTGTAAAAATTTAAGCCTCAGGTAGCAATACAGAGTTTTAAAAGAAAGCATAAGCAGGCAAAAGAATATAGATTTCTAAATTGGTGGGGAAAAAAAACCCAGATTTAAGGAAACAGTTGAATTTTTGTTTCCTTTTTTAAATAAAAAATAAAAATCATTCATTAAATGATTCTAAACCAGGAACTGTATTTACAATTATATATATTAGGCTATTGCTGAAAAGTAGCTCAGAGTTAATACATAAATCCTTGTGAGATTTTCAAGAATCAAATGAATTCACAGGATAAAAGTATTAGAATATTCTCTTTGCGACTACTTGAATATAAATTTACTTTTTCAGAGAGGTAAACTACTTTATTTATAGAAATAGGCATCACAAACAAGGCATTTGAGCAGAGATATGGTACACTACTGATGCGGTTTTGTTTGTGCCAAATGATTGCCAACTGACATGAAAGGATAATCAGGACAAAAATTATTATTTATCATTCCCAGTGTGTACTGGACATGTTATAACCCACCAAACAACTGAGTTTATGAAAGAATATCCAATAACAGTCAAAAATTAAACTTTCACACAATTACATACTGAAACATCTTTAAAAGTATTTTTAAATAATAATAATCTTTTAATTTTCTTTAAACAACATCTATATGAATGAATCAATGTCATTTACTACAGTCTGCAACTGATTTCAATCTGCCAGTCTTTTGGAGTTCTCCTAACTGGTATTCTGTTATTGTTTTCTGTGGCCGCTCCATTTGAAATGAACCAGCAGCCTAAAGCAGGAAGGCCAACTGTTCCTCTAGTACTAACAAATGTGCTAATATGCACTAGTTTAAACTTGATCTATCAAGTGAATCAGTGAACCATGAAGGGTGGTGGGTCAATCAGGGTGTTCTGAAAACAAAGGCTCATAGGGCAGCAGAGACGCTATGCTCAGACATACATCTGTGCTGCTTTCAGTTCTCAGCTTTATGAAAACGGGTTTATGTTACAAAAGTTAAGAGCCTGGAATCATGTCATTACTGCATACATTTATAAACACTTTATACAACAGTAAAAATACTATACAGGAGGAAAACTAATAATATGAGACAGATTTGTTAATGTAACTACGGAGACACCACTGTTAATATTAACTAACGAAAGTTAATGTTTAACATTAATGGTTTAATTAAAACTTCATGCATGAAGTTTCAGATGTCCGTATCAAATCTCAGTGTGAGAGATACTACAGAATAGGAGATAAAAATAAAATGCACTTCATGCATTTTTTGCTACTTTATCATTGATTCTTCACCCTATTTACCGTCTTCTGTTAGTTTACAGAGTTTTCAAGTAAAACTTTTTAATCAACTGTTAATAAAAATAAGTCATATCTTGCTAAAAAAAAATTTAAAAGGATAAGCATTGATAATTATGCATTTCCCCTTCATTTCTGGGCCTGTCTTAACCCTTTAAGAAACACCGGGCATTTGCATGCAAAAAGGATTTTAAATTAAATGGTGAATTCCACTGACACAGTATGTCCCCACTGTACATGCCCATAAGTCCAGTACAAAAAGATGTGATGTATAAACGGAAATCACTGAAAGTCAGGTGTACAACAGGTCTGACACGAGATCAACAGCATACTAGAATCTGCCTAAGCTGACGTTTGGGGCTTTCCAGGAGCCAGTCCAGAACCAAGGCTCCATAGGTGCATGCCTTAACGTGGCAGTGGTTATTTTACACCAGTTCAACGAACATGCGATATACAGAAGATCCATTTTCCTGAACACTATATCATTGAGCAAGCCCTATCTATCTGGCATGCATCTGAACAGCAGCGATGTTATGTGGAAAATAAGAACTTATTAAAAGAGGGAAGATGGCAGTACATGTGTTTTGTTACCATCACACACATACAGAAAGCCGTAACAGCAGTCACTGTAACTAAATTCTAACTATATTGTATCTGTGTGCTCACTTATATGATGACAGGCTTCATAAAAAATTATAGTCTAGTTCAACTTTCAATTTAAGTACTGTGAACACAAATTCAAAGCAACAGAGGATACTCACTATGAAGAGACTAAGAATGAACAGGAAAAACCATGCAAGAAACATTTGTGTCAGACACAAAACACACAGTAAAAGGGAAACTGTGTACATGGTATTTCAGAAAAAAAAAAAATATCTTCAGTAGAACAAATCTCCAGATAAAACTCTAGCTCGTATCATCACTAATAATCTTGTTGTTGTTCCTTAATAAATGTATATGCATAAAAATCTAAAAACTTGTCAAAGAGTAAGGTAAACAAATAGAAATTGCATTTATTTTCAAAGGAGACATACCTTTTAGTAATATTTAGTCATTCTGACAAATGAAAGTACATATTTACTGACAGCCATAACCAAACATATATATACTCTACTTTGGTAAATCACCTGCTTTTAATTTGCTCCAGCCTAGAAGCAACAAAAAAAATCTTCAATTAAATAATGCAGCAGGTAATGAAAATTTACTTTGTGATCAGATAGATTAGAAAGAAAACATGTACACTTAAATTTTTACTATTTTAGAATGATGAAATTATAACTTTATCCTGAAGTTCATAAGGAAACCAAAAAGGAGCCAATTTGAGTTCATTAACAAAGATGTCATCAGCACTATTATGAAAACAAGCTGCAGCAAAAACTATGAAAATTCATCACTGTTTCAAGCAGAGATATATCAATGTGCCTTTTGAGATTTCAATTACTGAGGAATCAACAGAACTTATCTGCATTTTATACTTTTAGTCCAGACTTGAATCCCACTGCGAACTTGCTACCAATGTTTGGTACATTTTAAATCAGAAGACCTTTTGCTGAATTATACCATTACTATACCATCACTGTTTGAATTACTGATAATGTGTCTCTGCCACACTGACTGCAGAAATACTGCCGCTTTTTGGGTGATTTTCTGGATAGAAAGGCAGTTTGAATATCTACTCAGATTTCAAGAGGTAACAGGGTGAAAACTACTTTTATTGTAATTACAGAACTTAAACCAATATACACATTAGAAAATTATATTTGGGGGGTTGTGTTTGGTTATTTTTTCCCCTCTGAGTCCTGATTACTCCTGAAGTAGAAGGAAAGGAGAAAAATGTACTGATTAGAGATCAAGAAAAATCTGCACAAGGTTTGAGCTTCTGGAGAAAGGCTGAAGCTGAAGGAAGAACTAGAAACAGCAACATTGACCAGAATGTTTTTTTCAGGTTCAGGTGGCTTCCAATTACAAAGCTATAAAACAGAGACTGCACCTCCAAGTAAAGGCAACCTGAGCAAGAGATACTGCAGCTTTTTTTTTCTCTGAACATATGGTATCACTGCTCCTGATGGATGGAGGGTAATCTGGGAACAAAACAGACATTTGCTCCTTATGCAAATGTCCTTGCCTTTATGGGTAGCTGGAGATCTGGAAGAATCTTGGCACTTCTGCAGATTTAGATATTTCCTGATAAAGTCTTTCAAAAAGGGGCACAGGAAGGCACTTTTTAATACACATTTTTATTTGGAAAATCCAGAGCATATTATAAGCAGACAATGTAAGAATGCACCACTAGTAACTCATGTTGTTTTACTTTCTCTAATATCTGCTTTTGACAAAATGACTTTATCAGAAGTACACTATAAATCACTATGGAAAGTGTTGTTACAAACACTACAGATGTGTAATATTTGATTTCTGTAATCTGGTTCAGTAGTAACAATTCAGCTGGAATTTTAATAGTCTATTACAAGATAGATTGTTTTTCTTCTGTAATAAACTCATTTGCTATAGTCTGTTTACAGAGATACATTTTGGAGCTAAATCCAAGAGATTGGGGGGGGGGGGGGTGTGTGCTGTTCTTTCAGTTTTTTAAATTGCAAGTGTGCTATATTCTGTATCTTTCCAATATTCATGGTATTAAATTACAGTGAAAGGCTTTGATTTGTTGTGGGTTTTTTTTCCCCCTAAATGGTGAATACTTTTTTCTTAAATTTGATACAGCTTCCATGAAAAAAATTGCAACCATCATGGGTTAAACAAAGCATCCTGAAACTGACATTAGCCCAGGCAAAGACAGAAAGATATTTTTAAAATAAAGAATTGCCTCTCATCACTAGCTAGTGTCAATACATTTTGTATCAAATTATACAGTAAGAGTCCTACAGAACCTTAAGAGCACTTCCACCTGTGAATTCATGAAGAAGAGGAAAGTCTCTCCCATTAGTCTCTTACAGAATCTGTAGGTCTCAACTGGGAGCTCCTGCACAGTCACTGGGAAGTCCCTGAAGAGTTCCCAGGACTGCAACAACAGTGGTACCATCAGATGTGCTGCAACTCCAAGTGAAAACATCAGCAAAATATTTCATTTCTTTAAGAAACAGATTTCCCAGAAGACTCTTCAGTCAGAATACAGTAAGCTATTTACTTTCAGTAGCTTCCAAAACACTTCCAAAAATAGCATCAATTTCTTTAATTTTTACAGATGCATTAGTCAATTATTGTCACTTCCCTAAATTTTACACTTCACTGTGTAAAACTTCAGTAGTAAACATTTTCCAGCAATAATATTCATATCTGTGTCTTAATTTCCACAGGCAAAATATTTTTCTAAGCTTCACTCAACCTTATTTACTGGCAATAGAAATAAGTTTGAAACAATAATGACATCAACCCCAATTGAATACTTACCGTTCAAAATTTCCTTTAGGTGTCTAAACCATGAATGGCAATGATCTTCACTTAAATTATTTAAATGGATAGCACAGTCTGTTAGTTTATTCTCTTCTTTATTCAAGCATTTAAAAATTGTGATACCCAACAAAGTACCACCTTTTTTCTGCCCTACAAAACGACGACGTTTCAGTTTTACTGAAAATATATCTTTCATTTCAATAATCTCCTCTTGAGCCTGTAAAACCATACTGGAATCACCTGTAGGGGGAAATAAAATTTTTAAAAAGTGTTATAAATATGATTAGGAGCAATATCTAAAAAAAAAAATAAATATTGTTATGGCATTATCTCTAGCTTCACTTGTTGCATCAGCTCATGCCTCTATTGAAACTTACTGCATAGCATTTGCCTCAATCACTGGTCTTATATTTTACCAACTTTCTGTTATTTAGGTTAGGTATCCAGCTATACACAGTTTCAGAGAGGTTAGTTAATCCCTTTTCTGATATTCAAAAAAATGAACAAAATTGTAGACTAAGAACAGTGAACCACTTTTTTTATTTGCCTTCACAAAGCAAATTCTTCATAGTATTCTCCTAAATCATAGCAATCACAGCAGTTGCAGTCTCCTAAATCATAGATCAGAAAGGTGCCATGACTATATGCTTAATGTATTTCTTAATTTGATACAACTGCTGTCTTTTGGTTTTAGACGAGACATATCAGAAAATGGTTAAGCAAAAATAGAAAAAAAAAACAAACCACAGAAGTGTGTCACCCATCTTACCTTTCATTTTCGAATTATGAATCTACTTTAGAAGACAAGTAAAAGAAAAACAGTTTCAAAAGTTCTTGTGACAGTTCCAGACCCTCACCCTAGGGGAGATTTGTGTTAGGCTGGAACACTAAGTGAAGGTCTTCTTATCTCGGGGCTGTTATAGAATCATAGAATCATTATGGTTGGAAGAGACCTCAAAGATCATCAAGTCCAACCGTACACCTGATGCCACCCTGTCCACTAAACCATGTCTTGAAGTGCCACATCTAAAATACACACTGACTCTGTGGCTGCAGACACGTCAGTGACACTAGTTCCAAATGCCTTTTGCAGATGTATCAACTGCACCACTGTGGTACAGGTTTCTCCTTTTTTTGCTCTCTTGAGCTGTAAAACACCCGACTCCTCAAAACCAAAGTCAAATACACAGACTGAAGAAAAATGCCAGCATTCCTCTAGGTGTCAGATACTCTGGACATGAAATGAAAATTTTCCCTGCTTTCTTTGTAATTACAGCAGATTTGATATTGTACACCAATAAAAGTCCCTTTGCAGCCCAAGGTAAGAAAGGCTGGAAACCAGAAACCTTTTCCAAATCTAGCAACAGCCCAGTCAAGTGGTTACTCAATAGCAAAAGCCATAACAGACTCTGTTTGATGAATATTTGCTGCATGCTGTACTGAAGTGCCACGGAGAAGCCGCAAAAGTCTATTTTAACTGTCTTCCTGGAATGGACAGCAGTGCAGGTGAGACTGCAAAATCACGTATCACCTACTTCATTACACCACATGACGCTGAGGGCTTCAGAAAGGCATACTTTTTCTGAACAGGAAAGAGAAGCCTGTGTCAATTCTTGTAATAGTTTGACGCTGGCATTTCTCAACATCATTTCTTGAACCAGATTATGCAGTGATCATCCTTCTATCCAGAAATCCTGGAGGATTGCACCTCAGCAATGCTAACACAGCTAAAGCTAAAGTCAGTTTTACCTCTCCTGACAATTATCAACCAACCTATTTTTTCCTGTTCCATACCAAATAACCTACTGCAGATAGAAGCATGACCTTATTATACTACCACATATTTTTCCAACTTGTTACATTTTACCATCTTAATTTCTCCATATGTCAGCTACTAAGCTGTGAAATTGGACTAAAATCATTCCATTCTTAGCAGGAATACTGTGAAAAGTAAATGTTTGTGTGCACCGAGATAGTACACAGGAATTGTCTGTAGTGTAGATTTTCAGAATTACGCAGCAAATAAACAGGAGGAAACCCACCAAACAACAGAAAACGAAACAGAGCTTCAAGTACTGCAATGATGCTGTAAAAGTACTTTGTATAAGATACTTTGAATGAAACCAGGGGACTGAGGAGAAAAAAAAATACTGTATGATTCCATTTGAACTATGATTTTGCACAGCCTTAAAGGGTGAGTGGACACTGTACAAGCAACCTTAATACTAACATTACCAAATCCAAGATCTTGATTTTTTTCAAACTTTGTATTGCTCTTCTAAAACATGTGGCGGCAAATAGTCTTTGTAGGCCTTAAATGAAACACTTACTTGTGACATCCTGAATCACTTACCTAGAACTGCATTGCTTGGTATCTTTATATAAGACCCGTTTTAATTTTAAAACCAGCATTCTCGAGGGGGGCTGCTTATCTTTTACCACAAAGTCTTGCTGTCAGACATGCAGAACACTGAAAATTCCAGCATGCAAACTCAACGTTTTAGGAAAACGGGGAAACAAGGACACATGAAATAAAACAACAACCGTTCTGCAGCAACAACCATTTATCCCCCCAGACCAACATAAATATGCTAAATGGGTTTGCTTTTTAAATATTTTTAAACAAATAACATTTTGGATTAAACTATTAGTTTTCTGACAATATCATAAATTCTGTTATACTAACATTATGCATATGCATTTCAAATAAATTACAAACATTAGCCTGCTTGTCCTGCATAAATCAAGTAAAATGAAGGCCTGTTCAAATACTTTTTATTCCCCCACTAGCTTTCATAGAATGACATTTAGTCTTAAGCCAGGTAAGGCTTGTCTTATCTTTTCCTTTTATGCTACTATTTCAGCCAGATTTTTATTTGCTTTTACATCTTCCTCTTAGTCTGTATTTATCAAATTCTTGTGTTGCTCAGATACACATCAGAACTCTTGAAAATTAAAATACTACATCCTTACTAGGCAGCACTACACTTTCAAAAATAGTATTTGACTTTAGTTGTTCTACTGGAATACATTTCCAGATAGAGCTTGGAGAAGCATATAAACTGTAGGAATACTGAATCGTACAAAAGCATCATCCTCAAGTTTTAAATTGTAGAGGAAATATTGAACTAGCTAGTAGGATTAGGACAGCCAATTTTTACTAAAGTTGAAAAGAAAGTTGCATAAAAGTCCCTAGGCATATTCTATAATTTTCATCTTCTATTTTTACTAAAAAGAAGATCATCACAAATGCAGGAAAATTTTATAAAACAACTCAGATAAAGAAAATTTAAGTCGTGAGCTACATTTATAAAGTATATCGAGTATGTGATAACAACCGAGTTTACTTTAAAAATAAATAACATTGGATTAGACACTTCTTTAAACTCAAAAAACCCTATTTGTTCGTTAGTATCATATTGGTTATTGCTAGCTGTTTCAGGACATTAACTGTCCTCTCACATTACTTAGAAAGATATTGGGTACCATCTGTTCTTGCAAGAGATTTAAGTATACGTCTATTAGATATCGTGCTATTTATTTAATTCAGTACCCACTTCTCATTGTTGTATCTTCTGAAAAAAAAGTCAATTTAATTACAAGGAATAAAGATAATCTCTTCTACCAGGCTACCCTGTCATCATGACAGCAGAGAGGGAACCTGTATAAAGTAGGTTACAGGCGTTAAGGAAGAGTAAAACTAACAGCACTTAACATTTAACAAAGATCTAACAAAAACAGAATATAAGGCACTTAAAAAAAAAAAATTACTATAAGCCAAGGGCTTGTCTAAATCAATCTCAGCACATCTGTCTGATGTAGAGCGTAAACAGGATTAGAGTTGGATTTATCTGCTTGACGCTAATTGTACTCACAGTTTCTGCACATGTCCTTTTTTTTTTTCCAAATACAGCATGAAAAAAAGCCTGCTTGGATATATGAATTCCTAAGAAGTTTTATGCCGCTATTATTTATCCTCTCACTGATTACAGGCAATGAGACTATCCTACATTTTTCCTATTTATGGTAGTCTAATCTCTTATTTAATAAAAAATTTTGTTTAAATATACCACCCTAAGGTAAAATAAAGGCTGAGGGACTAATACACTCAAATACAGTTTAACTGTAAATAGCAACCCAAATTTTAATTAGTTAAGAGTGTTAAACTAGGCTTTAAACAAATAGATTATCTCATGTTTACAGCAAAATTGATGAAAACATACACAAAGAAAAAAGCAGTACTACTGAAAAATAGAACAGTTTGTAAAGAGAAGTGTGTTATTAAAATATAAATACCAACACTTCAACAACAAAACACTTATTTGGCCAAACATCTAAAAGTGGTATTTGAGGACTTAATTTCCATAATAAATATCTGGAATACATGGAAAACAGTATAAAATACACACAAAATGCGACTGTATGATTCAAGTACAAGAATTGGACACAAAGGAAAATGTGTTATACTCCCTTGGTCATAAATTCTTCCTATGACCTTTGGCAAGACACCTAGCCCCACTTAACTACAATTAATAGATAAATCTCTTACGCATTTTAGGCTCTCTGTCCCATTACGCTCTCAAAGTTTACTTCATTAATAGTTGATTGCCATAGCTGAGTGCAGTGTAACATAACAGAAGTAATTAGAAATAAAAATCATCAAGACTATACCAAAGAAAATACAGTGATTGACAGTAGTTATTACAGATCATCCTACACTGTACGAACACTATCTTCAAAATAACCATTCAGGATACACAATAAAATATAACTTTATTAATATAAAACCAAAAAGGAAATAGAATTAAAAATTAATTTTGTTTTTACAATACATCTACAAATTTAGGCTCAGGAATATTTAAAATTAATATGATAATGTCTAATGCATATAAAACAGCAACTATTAACTCACTAATTATTAAGCCTATTTTTCCCCTACTGTAGTCTGCAAAGCATAATAAGTAGCATGTAACTGATTCATAAAACCTCTACAGTTTTCAGCTACAACTTTGATTAAGCAGGACTGGCAATGAGAAATATAAAGGAGCAAGCATGATCATTCTTGCCAGAAGAGCTAAGAATCACTGTATAGCTCATCAGGCTATTTAACATTAATTTAAAGGCTCTAAACATGAGACAGAAAAGTTGTTTTCAGAACATCTGAATATTCAAGGGTTTTTTATTTCAAAAAGACAGGTCATGCAACACCTTTGGCAAAATTTGATGCTATGCCTCTTACTCTCTTCTGCAAGCAGATATAGCAAAATTGCACTTTCTGCTTGCCAAGAGTATCAAACAGTAAGCCGAGTAGAATAAGGTACAGCAAGGGCCAGGTTGGGGAGACACTTGTTTTTCTTTGAAGATTACCTTTATGCCACTCCAGTCCTTTTAGATGGTGTCATAAGAGAAGTGTAACACAACCGAAGCCCTATTCTAGAAAAATGTTTCTCAGACTGTGCGTAATGACCTCCTCTGGAACAGCAAGTTGTGCAGAAAGTACTGCAAAGTACTGAAGAAATGCATCTCAGTTCCTCCAGAGCTGGAGAGTAAAAGCAGGGTGTAACTACTAACTCCATCTTCTAATGGCAGCTATTCACTTGCAGCAACAGCTGTATTCCTTCAGGGCAGAAAATTGAGCTTAAAAACATCTGACAGGAATACAACCAATTTTCATTCTCCTTCTCTAGAGAATCTGCGGGTGAAGCGATATATTTTGCCAAGCCAATGCAATATCTTGCTGCTAATCCATCTTCCAATACAGGCACCTACCCTCACT